CCCCCGCCCCGCCCCCGCAAATTTAAACTGCCCCCGCTCCCGTCCCCGCCCTCGATACCCACCGGGAATAAAATCTGAGTCCTCATCCCCGCTCCCGACGGGGTTCCCCTGCCCCCGCCCCTGCTCTTATTTTTTTTTCTTCTTTTTTTCTTTTAAATAAATATGAAAAATTAAAAAAATAAAAGAAAAGTAAAATAATATAAATTTTTACATATAAATATTTATAATTTTGGTTTATATATATATAAAAATAATTTTTTAATTATATTATTAAACGAGGTGGGGGCGGGGACGGGTATGGGGGCGGGAGCGGGTGGATATTATCATCCCCGCCCCGGCCCCCGCCCCCGATTTTATCAATCGGGGTAAACCCGAACCCGAACCCGAACCCAATAAACACGATTTTTCCCCATCCAAATCGGGGTGGGTTCGGGCGGGTACTCACGTGGCGGGTTAAATTACCATGCCTAATCTTATCTATCTGTTAGTCACATTTTACTCAACTAATAGAAGTTGAATTACTTGACATAATACAGTACAAAAGAAGTTGAATAGTTCATTGTCTATTTCTTTTTCTTTTTTTTTTAATAACAAGTTGCAACGCAATCGAACTATTCCATTAATTTTTATTTTTAAAATTGAGTGGATTTGTTGGATTTAATCATGGATGGATTTGATGATTAGTGACCAAATGAATTGAATTGTCTCGCCTATATAAACCTTCAATGAACCTTGGTGTTTCAAATTGTGAACTGCATCGACGTGGCTAAAAATTGTATTTGTGGTAGTGCTGGCAATAGCATCACATCACAATTACAGTGTAATGGATGTAATAGCTGCATTTGGACTGTAAGATATATTTCATTAAAGGTGAGAATTGATAAGGAGTAGATTAGGTGAGATTTTAAATGAGTTATGATATATTTCATTACATGCAAACATAAAATAAATTTATACTACAATGATGCAGATGCGTGGTAAATCGGTAACTATAATTTTAAATCCTAATTAACTTTATTTAATAGTTATAAGATCTATTTTATTATATGAAAGAATGATATGATATTTTTAGTTTTAATTTTTATTTGTATTAAAATAATATTTGATTTCAAAAAAATTTATTCTTTGAATATAACTTAATTATTAATTATTAATTTAAAAATATTGCGTGAATCATATCGATAAAAAAAAAAAAAAAACCTTAATTACTTGTACATTGAAACCATACACTCCTCTTAAATTTTGTGATGATGAATTGTGTTAGTCAACCAAAGAAAATTATGTTAATAGCATCTTCACATTTCAACTTTTTTTTTGATTGATGATAAGGTGGATAGTTGATTAGTAATTAAGGAATAATATGTCAATAGGTTATAAATGTGGATATTCAAGATGAACATGACAATCTTGCTTTTAGATGTAAAACAAATTGTGTTGAAAAAAAAAATTTACTTAATACATATTTACGGTTTTCGATGATAATTAGTCACTAATTTTAAGAGTGAATACTTTACACTAATACCATCCTTATTAAAAAAAAAAACATGGGAGATTCTTTAATTTCTTATTTGACATTATGTTAACTTTTCATTTCTTTTTCCCTTTTAAAATGTGGTGCTGGTGTTGCCTTCTAATTTGGGATGTTGACCTTCAAGGAATATTTCGTTAATCAAAGCGCAAGAAATATTCATCAATCAATAAAAAATCTATGTCCATCATTTGCTACCTATATGTGGAAAGAGCATCATTCGTATACAGCAAATAATTAACGGATGGAGCTTTCTCAAGAAGCAACACTTTGCCCAACTTCTAAATTTTATAAATAATTTAATTTAGAGAAATACTACCGATATTCTTTCTCTTGTTAATACTTTTTTAATTAAAAATCACAACTTTTAATAAATATGACGATTAAATTAAAAAAGACTTATTAAATTAGATATGATATATATTTAGAAAATGGTATATTAGAATTCCTCTTAAATTTATTTAAATATATTTTGAACTTTCTTGTTGACAATAGTCATCATATACCACTTAAAAAAGCACAATACTCAATAGTACACTAAGTCCTTTATCTTTTCTCCATTTGACCTGTAGAAGTTGCGATTTGAAATGTAATGCAAAATTATAGTTAAATTATAATGTCCACGATCAAAAGTAACATGTATTTGTCACCTTATTTATATGATTCCCAAAGTTCTCGAAAATCACTGAAATTAATCTAAAGTTTTGTTTAGGTAACATACATATATATTTTTTTTTACCGTAATATAAATCTTAAAAAGCCAAGTGAAAAGAGTAATATACTTTTATAAAGGTTCAGTCAAATATAATATTAGGCTTTTCCAAGTTCGGTCATGATATAGACACATATATGTTAGAATATATATTAACCAGAAAGCATAGTATCTATTTC